TTTTATAGTATATACAGTCTCAATCAGACTGACTTGCAAAGAAACTCCTGGCGCTTCAGCTGAGATTCTTCTGAAAGCAATCAACCATGTTATATGGACTATGACGCGAAGAGACTTGCTCCACTGGATTCCGTCAAAGGAGGAACTCTTATTTCCCAGCGATGGAAAATGGGGAAACCCTGATGTGCCAGCTCCTGCCTTGAGCAAGATTCCAGTCTTGAAGTTTGTCACATGGCTGCCACTCTAACTTGCGCACTGTTTGTTCTGTCTTGTTTGGGTCACCTGGTTTTGTAAACGCTTTGTTTGAGTCACCTGTTTTGGGTAACTGGTTTTGTCCCCGCTTTGTCAGTAATAGAGTTACAGAAACAGTGCCTAGGTTCTGGACGAGGAGAAAATGCAGAACCGGGCTATACTCTTCTTAGCAGAAATACTCAATGCTGTGTGCGTGCTGGACAACGACGTGTGCCACACATTGTGGAACATTTTCCGGCGGAGCATAACCAAAGTGAAGGCAATTCGGCTGGAGATGTCCTTTCTCAAGGCCACCATAGCTTGACACTTAGCTAGAAAATAAGAATGCCAGCCACGTTTCACTAGTCACTAGTGTTGGAACGGCTACAGTTTTTGAAACGCTCTCCCAAATTTAGTTGTTCAGGACACAGTCAACTATGGGGCTTTTCAACGATTGGAGTTTTAAGTATTGTGTTAACGTCAACCCAGGCAACTTCTACCATGGAGCCTACCAGTCTGGAGACAAACTCCTGTGGAAGAAGGAAGCGCTGTACCAGTATTTGAAAACCAAACCGGAAGCCTTCTTTCAGGCCCTGTCAGAAAGCATCGAATTTGACCGTGAGTTGCGTCTTGAGCCTGGGAGCGTGGCAGAGCACATGGAAGGCTTTCTGGAAGCAAAATCAATTCGCCAACGCTGCGAATTTGTGGCTCGGATGTTTAAAATCAAATTGTGGCACTTCAATTTCCCCAAACATTGACAAAAAAAACTCTGAAATTGGTGAGGAGCATGTTACCATGGTCGTAAATTTTGTGGTACTCGATATTGCTTGCGGGTCCTCCAGTTGTGTGCTGTGGTCGTGTGCTGTAGGATAATTAGTGGCCACCCCGTCATCTTGTTAGTCGTCTCTCTGGTTCAACGGCCACGCGTGGTTCTCCTCAAACTTGAAATGTCTGACTGAGGTCAAGAACAAACGCTGGTTCCAGATCCACCGTGCTTTGAAACAGCTGGTCTATGATTGGACGATCCAAAAAGAAGGTCTCCGAGCATTACTGACTTTCTGGACTGGTCAGGCCTCACAGGGTCTTTTGTATAAATAGATTTCACGCACACAGCGTAAGCTAGTTAGGGTCAAATGACACAACCTGTTACCGGTGTGACCTGACCCAACTTGGCCCAAAACGCATCCTCATGCAATGCAGGACATGAGTGATGATGAGGACGCGGTGGTTGGTGCACCAATTCCTACAGCGAACACTGCTGACGGTCCTGAAGACGGGGAGGAGGAAGCTGACGATGAGCCAACCAACAAGCGTGAACTGTACAAGTACTACGCAGGAAAGGATCAGCTGCAATGGTTCTAGACTTTCTGGAGGATGAAATGCTGAAGAGATGTTGCATAGTCATCTATGAGGTGAGCGCTCCTGTTATTCAAAGTTCTTGAAAGACTACAACCGCTCCATATCGAGACAAATGCTGTTTGCAGCTGATCGAGCAAGCCAGACTTGGCCGTTTGCAGTTTCCTTGGCATGCTTCAAGAGAGGATGATTTTCTGTTGAAACGGCTTGGCATGATGGCACCAATTATTGGTGGCAGAGAGAGAGACATTTGAGATTGACCCCATGCAGCCAGAGTTTGCTATGGAAAAGAAGCTGTTGGAGGTAATTTTCCAATTTGGAGTCTTTGTATCAGCATGTTCCCACCCGTGTGGCCTTTCGAGCAGAGATGCCCCCTGAATTGCATGGCTGCGCTTTGTTGCAAACAGGGCCCTTGGACGGCCTTCTTCGATCAGCTGTTTGGGTTGGGCTTTCAGTGAAATTGCCCGAATTGAAAGCCATTGTCACCAGCCTGAAGCTACCAGCGCTGAAAGCTGGCAATGGTTCAGGTGCAAAGGGTCGTATTGTCATGTGTGACTATGCCAGACAATTGGTGGAACACCTGTATCCGAACGCCAGTCAGGCTGACAAAACCCGCATGACCAACGCAATAGCACTACCTCCAAAGCCGAGGAAGCAGACGGCTACAGACACTGGCTTAGATGAGGAGATGTCGCTTGAGGTCATGGCTTCCCAGTTAGACGCTGACAACGCAGAAGAGTTTCGTGACTTGGTCAAAGAGTGCAAAGATAGGCTGTTGGAGAAGAGCAATGAAGTGGAGGCAGAGAAGATGCGAGAGAAATGTGAAGCGAAAGCTCAGGAGGAGTTGAACAAAGCGCTTGAGAAGTTCAATCAGGGCAAGAAGTCTGGTGATGCTTCTGCTGCACCACCAGCAGCTGCAGCTTCCGGTGCTGCTGGCAGTGGGGATCATACAGGAGCCAGGGAGAAGAAGACTCCAAAGGAGTTCAATAGTCTTTTCCACTTCCCGATGACTGGTCTCAGCTGCAAGCACGATCAGGCAAAGCAGACCTTTGCCTTTGTCTTCCCCTGCGACTGGACTGGTATTTATGGTTTTGGATTTAATTTTGCTTTTTGATCTACCAAGCTGTCATATTCACCTACACATCGTAGAATCAGACACACCCCTGTGACTCAGTCTGAAAATAATTCCAACCAACTTTTGTATTTCCAACCAATTGAGGTGATGAGCTCATTTCAGCCTGCGCGCGCAGTTGGCCCACGGGAAGGTGCCCCTCAGAGATGGATGCTCTGAGAACCGTGGTCAAATTTGCGTATGAACGCTGGAACAAAAAGAGGCCTGATGATGGTATTTTTGAAATACCTGCAGACGATGTTCTCAAAGCGTATCTTGATGGTCTCAAAAAGTGATGTCACAACTTTTGCAATTGACTTCAAAATAATTGAGGTCCTGGAGAAAAAAGCAAATGACTTCAAAATGAGGTCCTTTTGCAACTTCTGCGAAAGCCAAAGCAAACATGTGCCCTTTTGAATCGTGAACCCGCCAGGGTACCGCTGTAATTGTACATTGTCTATTGCCGCAAGTTGTGGAAACAGACTAAGCCCTAATAAGCGTTAATCATTTAGTTCATCCACCTACAATTTGCAATTAATACCTGAGCAAGGCTTGTTAGTGGAGATATTTTGGCTACACTAATACACTACTAATAAGCACTAATACATCTATGTGAAGATGGTATTACTCAGAGACATTTGTGCGATGTGTTTGGGGAGGGGGGGGGAGGTTCTCGAGGGGGGGGGTTCTATGATACCTATGACACTAGGAACAAGAAGCTACTAGTAACAAAGAGCATCGCTACTACTTGCGTCTTGGGCCCAGTTCTGACCTCCGCTCAGGTGCACCCTTCGCCGTGCCTTTGCTCCAACTGTGGCAGTGTCGATCAGTTTGTCAACATTCAGATGCCGCGGTCCGTGTGCAAATGTGGGCAAAAACAGGAAGACTGAAGAGGGGAGATGTTACTGCTACTGCAGATGGAATGTCAACCCTCCAAAGCCTTGTTCTGGTTGCATGCCTGGCCTTCAGTGCGTACATAAATGAATGTCTTGGTCCTTTGCCACCATGGCAATTGCAGGTCATCAATCCCGTATATAGATTCAATCAAGTCCAGCCGATATCCATTCTTTCAACACGAGAGACCCTACTGGCCAGCGCCCCAGAGGTTTTTCTCGCCTATGCTGAGCTGGCACAAGAGCGGAATTTGCTCACGGGTGCAGCAGAGGACACGCTTGGCGCTTTCAGGCATGAGGGCCTTAGGAAGGTGCCGGAGGGCCTCCAAGAGGAAAAAATTTCAATATCAATCAGTCTACCAATGTCTTCTTCATACCCCAAATGGCTGCGCTGAAGGACATACGCTGAGTCCTTTTTGTTGCCTGCATCAAAGTTCCCCACAGCAGCCTCGGTGCCACCAGTCATTGTTGGTCATTGATGTCGAATAGTATTTTGTGCGCGCGGCCCCTCCCCCCACAACTTTTGAACGATGGGTGCCCTCAGGCTGCTGCTCGGAGATGCTGGTGCAATTGCATCGCGGTTGGGATTGTGGGAGCATTAAATTTGTTTGTTTTTTTAAAATACTTTAATGAAGTATATACAGTATCTTTTAATATAGAGTTTGGTCTCAGTAACATTTAGATTACCACCTCTTGGCAGAGTGCCTTTAAGCGAGTGATGGAATCTTGGCCTTGACACTTTGCTCCAGCCTTTCCAAAAGTCTAGGAACCAAATGAATAGCGTGAGCTGTCCTTCCTCCAGTAGCTAGTAGCGGCTACAGTAGTTGCCCTCACCCTTACCTTAATTATACTTAATTAGTTAGCGGCTAAGGCGGGCTAAACTGCTAAACATAAACATTGAAACACGTCCTGCTGACGGCCGAGGCAGGGAGCATTTTGCGGCGGGCTGCACTTTTCCTGGCGCCTCGGCCCTTCGGCGGCGGCCTCAATGATACGCTGCTGACGCGGCTGCGCCAGGCGGGAGGGCCCTGAGAGTTAGGGGGTTAGGCATTGTGATGCATTGTGGACTTTGGAACGTTCAATTACTGTATTTTTCGATCGTTTTTGTTGGTTGGTTTGTTGCAAGATGTGGAAGATGTGTGGCTGTACCGTGAAATTGAGTGGGGCTGGCTTCGCATGGTGTTGGCAGGTGGAGTTTGTGTGTCGGCCATTTCTGGCGATGGTTTGAGAAGCACTGTCATGCGATATGATTTACAGTACATGATGTGCGGACACCCTCTCAGGAAGCATGAAATCCGCTGGAAAGCTTTCAAACAAGACTCTACGCTTCCGTTTGGCCGCTTGAAGGAGGCAGACCAAAGCTCAAGAACACCTGAGCCACAGTAAGCAGTTCATTTAATTCTTCTTGAGGCATCCTTCGTCCACTGACACCGCATGTAGTCAAAAAGCTCTCGAAAGATCTGAAGGTCCAGGTTTCTTTTCTTCATGCTTTAAGGACGGGAATCCCCATGCTCTCCACGCTCTCAAATTGACAGCGTGCAAGCGGCAAAGTTGGAGATGTTTTCCCAACCTGGAGGATGCAGGGCCCTGCTCTAGGATTTTCAGATACCTAAGAGCGATGACCTAAGAGCGATGGCCTCCAACCTAAAGCGATGGCCTCCAGACTTTTATCCGTGCTATTGAGAAGGGCATTGATTGTCATAGTGTACGATTTTCATCATGAGAGTTCTGCGGAGGGAACTCTTGGTAAGATCGATGAAAGGCATGTAAGCCATGTGCAAGCTGTCCATGATACAACACACACACATCAACACACATAGATCGATAGATAGATAAATAAACAAATATATGTAGATAAAATTAGATACTGTAGATAGATCACGAAAGGTAGCGGTTACGCTACCTGAGTTTTCCTTTTGCTTTAGCAAAAATGTATTATACCCAGAGCTGGAGCCTATCTCACTGAGAAATGGTCAACGAAATTTGCTGGCCGGGGGCCCCCCCCCCCCCACACTTTCAACTCCACCCTGGCGCGCCTCGGGGTCAACGGTTCGAAAACACTGTAAATACCAGTGTTTTCAGCTCTTCCAGTCCTCAACAGTGACAAAAAATAATGTAATTTATAGCGTTTTTTGTGGCTGTCCGGCAAAAAACACCGCAAAAACCGATGGTTTTTGATGCGTCTCGGTTAGAAACATGACCGAAAAAATACCAAAAACCAGGAAAGATTTTGTCGGAAAGGGTTTTTGAGGCTTTTGGAGGCTTCAAAATTGCACAAAACTATGGTATTTACAGGGTTTTGTGCACCTGCCCGGCAGAAAACGCCGGTATTTACACGGTTTTCTGCGCTTTTCCAGCACACAACCGTGGTGCGCCTCTGGATCGACGGCTACAAAACACCGTAAATACCAGTGTTTTCAGCTCCTCCTGTCTTCAAGCGTGGCCTTAGACCTTGCCGCGGCTGTGGATCGACGGCAACAAAACCTCGTAAATACCAGTGTTTTTGAGCTCGTCCTGTTTGCGGAGGTGATCCTCCCGGATTACGCCTGATTCCCTGCTACCTTTCGTTCACCCCCCTCCTCTCTCAAGTATATAAATATATATATTATATAGATAGAAAGCAGATAGATAGATAGAAATAAAACAGATAGATCTTTGCAATGAATCGATCAATAAACATCCTTCGGACAAGGACTCCCCAAATTGGCACTCCACGCCACACAGCCTACTGTAACACATCTCCATGTTTGCTTGGACTGCGGCCGGCACGGGCCTTGCTAAAAGCAAATCTGCCCTGTAGCCGTGCCAGTCCCGCGCTGGTGCCCATGTTTTAACCGGAGATCGCTGCTTCCCTCCAATCCCTCCTTCGGTGTCCTTCGGTGCTTTTGAGCTACTCTGAAATCTATGACCCATGACCTTTTTGCAATCTTTGAAGCCCGAGCAAGGAGTAACTGGCAGCGTGTTCTTCGTGGTTATCAGCAGCCAGCAATGCTGGTGTTCATCAAGCACGCTCCACTTCATTTTGGCAGCTGTCGCTCCCTTGTCATGTTGAACCCCCAGAGTGTCCATTCAACAGAAACCTATGCAAATCTCTTGGAGTGTGTTAAGGGCTGCAATCCGTGTGGTGACTAGGACGCATGGTCGTGAATCTCAATGACACCGCACTCCACACTCCCTAGACATTCGTGTTGGAGCGCTGCATAGGCCCGGGAGCCGTGTCCAAGAAGCCGAAACAGCGGCCAAGTGATAGGATGCCTCACGCAAAGAGCAGGAAGAAAGGGTTTCTTGCTACTAGTAGGTAGCGATGGCCTCCAACCTAGTAGTTTCTTGCTACTAGTAGCGATGGGTTTGATTCATTCTGATTCTGCACGCAGCTTCTTTAAGCTTTCCCTTGGACTTTGGAAGCGCCATTCTACACAAGACTCACTTACCACAATGCCTATGCGTCGCGGGATGCTAGATGATGAAGCGTATATGAAGCGTATTCAGAAATCAGGGTGTCCTAGTTTTGCGGCGATTTGGCTCAGAAGAGACACCATGTTTGTTTGTAGTATTTATGGAATCGGAATTGGTAAAGGATGTGGTTCGCAACGTTTATATGTATAAAGATGAGCCAATGATCAGCAGTGCAGCTGATGCACATGGTATTAACATGCATTAGCATTATCACCATGAGCACAACCATGCTTTGCATGCTTGCTTGAAACGCCCGTCCCAGACGTGATGGCTGACGTGGAGGATTCAATCGCGAAGGCTCCACAAATTGCTTGTTGGAGTTTCGGTGGGACCAGCCATGACCAAGCAGTTGGATTGTTTAAACAATACAAAGATACTGTATTTGTTTTGTGAAGTGTGAGCCCAGCGACCCGCTCAGAGGCACGAACGCTTGAAGCTGCTGGATCTACTACAGAAGCTGTCCAGGAATACCTCAAGTTGCTCAAGACGTCGACGGATGCCCTATCGTTCCTGCAGCAGCAGTTAAAAAAACTGGTGAAAACAACACCTCGCCCGTATTTACTTAGGTACGAATCAGATGTGAGTTATGCGTGGCCGAGCTGAGATACTCACGTGAACGGCTGAGGAAAGGTACCGCAGCCTTGTGCTTGGGGAACCTGGCAATGGCAGAGCAAAAGCCAGACAATCTCATGCGCGAAGATGTGCCAGATATCCTTCAGAAGGCCTTTGACGAGGCGGGACACTTATGCGACTCTCTCAGGCTTCAGGAAGCATTTTGACATTCACCACCTAGTTGTCGCTTACCAGCCAGCAGACATCAGCTGCCAGGCTCACGCCTTGCCTGTTCGCAGCAGAATGCTGGAGGGCCGACTGCTACAGCAGTTGAGCGAACTGCTGCTTTCGGGTGTCAAGGCAGACAGCTTTCTGGGTTGGGCTGGCTTGAACGGGCCTCAAAGATTCAGATGTGTCAAGATCATGTTCCATAGGCCGTAGAGTTCCCATTTACTGGTTTGGATGGGAATGCATGAATGCATGAAATGGAGAGTCCATCAACAGTGGTTTGATGGCATGCCCAATTGCGAACATGTGTGGCTGCCGACTATGGCTCAAGCCTGAAGGTTGCAGAATGATTCGTTTTATCCTTTTACAGAACCGGCAGGGCAAGACCCGTTTGTCCAAGTGGTATGTGCCTTTCAATGCCAGTGAGAAGTTCAAGATTGAGTCCGAGATCCACCGGGCTGTGGTGACACGTGACCCAAGAAACACAAACTTTCTGGAGTATCGAAGCTACAAGATCATCTACCGTCGATACGCAGGGATGTTCTTCATTTTCTGCGTGGATATGAATGATAATGAGCTGGGCATCCTTGAGCTCATCCACCTTTTTGTGGAAGTTCTGGATGGCTATTTCGGCAATGTTTGTGAGCTCGACCTGGTCTTCCATTTTGACAAGGTCTACCGAATCTTGGATGAGCTCTTGTTGGCGGGGGAGGTCTCAGAAACATCTACAAGCAAGATCATAGCTATCATGAAAAGCGTTGACAAGATGGACTGACGCCGGCGCGCACAGGGGCATAATAAAGTGGCGCCACTGTACTGCAAGAGATGGTAGTGCTGCTCATCATCAATGCTGACCAAGGGCTCTAAATGGTTTGGTCTAATCTGAGTGTACTATGATGTACTATGGATTATTTGTTTGACAGTCATGCTGTAAACTCAAAAGGTTCTATTTATATACTCTTTGTCATCAGGGACCCTTGGGGAGTGGCATAGCGGAGCACTGCGATTAGCTGCGGCCGGCCGACGCCACCGCCCCATGGTGGACATGAAACCGTTGGTCACATGCGGGTGAGTGGTCCTGTAGAGTTGTCGGTTAAAGACAATACGTCTCCAAGTCAATTGCAGGGAAAAAGTGAATGCGACAGGCCTTGAAAGTGTGCTCAGCTCGCAACACTCTCAAGCAAATATGAGTGACCAACCAGCAAACACTTTTGGATACTTTTGGACATGGAAGCCGTATAATGCGAGGACTCCACAATTTTATCATGTCTAAACCTCCATTCTTTTTAGGACAAGCTTGAAGCATTTTGCCTCAACTTCCCCCATAGGACGCGGACGCGGTCGACCGTGGAGTGGCAGCACGGCGCCAGGCACGACAGCTGCTTTTAGAGACTTAGCTGGAGATATTTCTGGAGAAGTGTTGCTCATACTGTGCCAGACTGAATGCTAAACTGACTCGTGTCCGCTCTTGAAAGTGGTGTGGAGCATGACAGATGCAAGAGTGCAGCCGGTATAGCTTGAAGCTTTGCGTGTTGAAAAGGAAGGTGCTGTGGAGTATTTGGACTGGAGCCTCAGCAAGGCGGAGAAATTCCTGGCCGAGGCGAAGGTAGGATGGGAGAAGCTCCAAGCCTTGCAGTTTGGATGGGAAGCTCCAAGTAGTCCAAACCATCACACAGAGACCCGGCACGCGGGGAGAGTATGGAGCAGGAAGCAATACAAGCATGCCTCCCTCAGCCCAACAGGCGGAAACTACTCCACTGCCACTGCCACAGCTCATGGAGAGACTGGGAAAATGTGGAGTGCGCGTCACTGATGCTGAAACCATCGAGGAGTTGTTTGATGCTTGGGCACTACCTACAGCAACTTGCCCTGATCCTGAGTCTGTTCAAAGTGCTCACCATTTTCAATAGAGGCACCCTGCGTGCGAGGGCGCATGCCTAACACAGACAGACGTGGTCGTCAGGCTTGGTAGAGGGGCGGCTCTCCAAACAAATCAACATCAAAGAGATTTCGCATGCCTAAAAGATGTGAGCGTTTGGCATTTGAGGCAGGTGGCATGGCGCTGTCCATCCAGGACTTCTTGAAGAATTACCTGGACTTGGCCAAAGGGATTTCGCCTGAACCTTGCCACGCACCCTGCGAAGGCGCAGAAGAGAACACAAAGTAATAAAAGGCGAAGCCTCATAGAACACAAGAACTTTTTCCCGAATAGCTGAAAGCTATAGGGCCTATTTGCGTTTTGTCCACCGCTGCCTTGTCTTCCCGCTTGTCTTCTGAAATGTCTCCCACTTGTCTGCCTCTGTGATCGGCACTTTGTCTACTGACTGCTGGAGCTGCCTTGTCTCCCCACTTGCCCACCTAACCATTGGTCGGCGCTTTTCATGAACCGAGTGTAAAACACATGAAACCATTGCCTAGGCTTCGGTGCCAAAGGCGGCGAACAAGCCACCGGAGCAGCAACCCTCACCAATCCTCACAGTATACCCCACCACTTGTATCCAAAGCGAGACTTCAGAAACCAACATACGGGAAATGCCTCAAGGAGGGCATGGGAAATGTTTGTAGAGCACAACCCGCGCACGCCAAGTTGAAGTGTTGCTTTGTGTGAGCAATGCGCAAAAAAAGGAACAGTCGTCATTCGCAATAAGCAACGCAGAACTAGTGGTCCTTGCAACATTGTAAGGCATTGTAAGGCTGCCTTGCGCATCCTTGAAGGTTTGTCCGGGAGCAGCTCTTTGGAACAAGCCCTGGTGGTGCTGGTCTCGAAGCAAGGTGCCAGCGACTGGGATGCCAAGGCTCAAGAGCTGCGAGAACGCTTCCCAGAGTCTGAGCCAGAACTCCTACAGGATGAGACATGACGAGACAGAGAGGGCAGACTGAAGATGGGAGTAGGCCTTTTGCTTCCTAATCATTAAACATTAATCACGTATTTAAGAGTATTTAAGTTTGTGTGATCAAAGAGGGGTCCCAGACACTGCAAATCCCTATGCGGCGGTTCCCAAACACCACAAAAACGAAAACAAAACCGAACACAAAACCGTCGAAACACCTGACACCGTCACCCTGGCAGCCAAAAAGGACGCAGTGGAAACTACTGTACAAAATTCTGCAAACCACAACGACCTCGTAATTACCCAAAACCAGCATGAAGGTTTCTGACGTTGCCTTGCGCAAATGAACAACCCCTCAAATCTAACAATCAACGTCATTATCCCACCCCCCCACCCCCAAATAGCATCAACGTCATTGCCCCACAAAACGACCTTCCGACAACACGTTTCTGCACACAGTCCGCGACGCCTCGGTGGGGCGGTACCCTAAAACAGCGTCCTCTTGTTACTGGTGCTAGTAGTAAGGAGCCCCTAGTAGCGTCCTCTTTTTACTAGTAGTAAGGCCAGGAGCCCCTAGTAGCGTCCTCTTTTTACTAGTAGTAAGGCCAGGAGCCCCTAGTAGCGTCCTTGCTCCTAGTAAGGCCAGGAGCCCCTAGTAGCGTCCTTTTGTTTCTGGGAGTAAGGCCAGGAGCCCCTAGTAGCGTCCTTGCTCCTAGCAGTAAGGCCAGGAGCCCCTAGTAGCGTCCTCTTTTTACTAGTAGCAATAGTAGTAAGGCCAGGAGCCCCCAGTAGCGCCCTCTTTTTGCTAGTAGTAAGGCCAGGAGCCCCTAGTAGCGTCCTTGCTCCTAGTAGTAAGGCCAGGAGCCCCTAGTAGCGTCCTCTTTTTACTAGTAGTAAGGCCATAGTAAGGCCAGGAGCGCCTAGTAGCGTCCTTGCTCCTAGTAGTAAGGCCAGACTAGTAGTAAGGCCAGGAGCCCCTAGTAGCTGCTGGTAGTAAGGCTAGGAGCCCCCAGTAGCGTCCTTGCTCCTAGTAGTAAGGCCAGGGGCCCCTATAGTAGTGTCCTCTTTTTACTAGTACTAAGGCCAGGAGCCCCTAGTAGCGTCCTTGCTCCTGCGAGCACGCGTGCCAAACGCCGCGCAGCTGTTTTCACTCGCACGAGCGAGGTCGTGGGTCAGGCTGGTGAGACGGCCTAGTGAACCTGAGAAGCTACTTACGCTACTCCTAGCCAAGTCACTTGAGCCAAAATCAGTATCATGCAACAAGTGAAACAAACACACATGAACTAGGCGAGGCAACATGGTTCCACAATCGCCCCTCGGATGGGTTCTGCGGCCGTGGGATCCATCTCTGCAACATGCCTCGCCGCGCAGTGCCGCGAACCGCGAGCACTGCCGCTGGCGGCGGCTTACTCCTCTGCCGCTGCTAGCGAGCTCTGGCTCTGCTTGCCCGTCGCGCGTCTCCGTGATGGCTTTCCGCCATCTTCCTTCTTGTCTTCTCCCCCGAAGACTTCAGATGCCTGCCAGAGCCTCTCGAAGTGGTTCGCGTAGGTCTGGAAGATCTCGTCCTCCCATTGACCCTGAACCAACAACCTAGAGGTTCATTTGCACTAAAAAACGGAGGACGTATGGCCATATGACCTCCAAAAAGGCCTGTGACCATGAAATCGCCGTATGACCTCGAAACAGGCCTCCAGCGATAAAATTGCCTTACGCTGGCTACCTCCACAGCGATGCTTATAAAAATGCGTTGCGAGGAGGCAGCGAGAAAAGCGTCCGCTACAGCCCACCAGATTCTGCGAGCCTGCGCAGTCAAAATGCACGTCGAAGATCTCGAGAGGCACGAATGTATCGTAAATGGCAACTATAGTTGCACTTCATGCAAATGGGTCCCGAAAAATGCAAGCGAAGGGGAGAATGCCTCAACTGCGTGCGATATCTGAGGAATGTCTATTTCATTCAATGGCGCAACGCTACGTAGCTGAAATATTGAGATGTGGTCTTTAATTTAGCCACACACAAGTTTGATTGACACGCCAAATCTGGGTGGATAGGCGGGTGGAGCGGGGTCCGCGCAAGAGAGAGACGGTTAGATGTATATTCCGGCGAGGCTTGCGCTAGATTTCACTCATACGGAGAGGGCCGTTATCGTAACTGCAGTTAAGCGTGAATTCACACGTGATGTTAAACAGAAGTTAGTTGAAGTTACGGTGGAGGCGTTTAAGTTCAGCATATCTTACTCTGTCGAATCTTGCGTTCGATTGATTTCAACGTTTCAGACGTCAGAAAACAGCGGACAAACTCACATCTTTTTCACTAATGCAGGCAAAGCACGTCTGATCCTAGGAAACACCACCAAGCAACAACTACAATTTCCATGTCTGGCCGCGGCTTCCACCACTTTCTTTCCCCTGATGGTTTCCATTGACTGCCCCATGGGTGGTCTGCTTTTTTTCCATCGTCTCAAAGAGAAAGTGGAGGCCGCACGCAGGCCCTGACACCGCCATCAGGAATTGTCCACCAACTTTGTCAGTGAACAAGACCATATCGCCGAGCGAGACGTGTCTCTTCCACATATAAGCGTGGTCTGCGCGGCTCAGGCCGCAGTCTTTGAAGGAGAACTTGTCTTCCTCCGTGGCCTCCCTGACAGGATTGCCGAGTCCCCACTTACCCAGGCCTAGTTGTTCATTGGACTCTGCGTTTTGCAGGGCCAGTCGGCTAACTAAAGCCTTCTGGAGACGAAGAGAATCGCCCAAGCAACCTTCCAAGGTATCAATCAAGCTGCTTTTGATTTCCTGATGCTTCGATTCTTGAACGGCGCAGTGCGGCAAGAACGTCAACTGCTCGCAAGCAGCTCCGATATGGAATCGCAGGCAGCTCTTCGCCCACAGGCAAACATCAGGAAACCCGCAGTTTCCTAACGAAAAACGCGCAGTTTCCTCACAGACTCTTCGCCCGCGGGCGAACATGAGGAAACCCGCAGTTTCCTGACCAACTTCCTCCGCAAACCCACAGGCTGGCCACCCTACTAAAGAACGCATGCTTGTCTTCCCATGTTG